ACCCTGAAACAACCTCTGGGCTGATCTAAGTCAGGGCATGGCTAACACACAGATAGAACCCTGAAACAACCTCTGGGCTGATCTAAGTCAGGGCATGGCTAACTCACAGATAGAACCCTGAAACAACCTCTGGGCTGATCTATAAGTCAGGGCATGGCTAACTCACAGATGGAACCCTGAATCAATCTCTGTGCTGATCTAAGTCAGGCCGCGGCTAACTCACCGTTATGGCATAGGTATCTCACTGATCGATTTAAAATTTTCAGAATCAAGTAATCTATATTCATTAAATATCGTTCATTCTTTACACATTTTTTCTCTTAAGCAGGGAATAATATTTTCAAATACTGTTTCTAAAGATTATTCAGCACTTTTTCTATTGAAGTACACGCCCGTAAATTCTGAGCTTCCGTAGCAATTTTGAGCTGCCGCAAACAACCTTCGAGACTTTTACGAAAGCCTTTTGAAAGCGGGAAAAGGGGAAAATCGGATAATTTGAGTGGGTCGTTTGAGGATTTATGGGCTTCCTGTAGTTGGGATGTCCGGCTTGATGCGGAACTTTGACAGCTCTCTCCCTCTGGCTTCTCTACTGTTCCCGTTCGGTTCTCTTCAGCGCTTTCTTCTACTAATCCATTTTCCTCTTCGTGTGGTATATTTGCTGGGCATTGGTCTTCCTGTGGTAATTTTGTAGTAGATTGGTCTTCCTTTGGTTTCTGTTCTTCTAGTTTCTTTTCATCTTTTACTTCCTTACGGTCTTCCTGTGTCGCGGTAGCTTCGTTGTCAAGGACATCATTGCATGAATCTTCGGCTGCTGTGAGTATTTTGTTGTGTTCAAGCCAGAAGTTGAGTTTTTGCAGCAACCTTAAGAAATGAATATTGGCGTCAAGAAAATACACACAACTTCTGGAATAGTATGGGTTCTAGTACTGGAAGCGTTATAAATTCGTCCCTTTATTCATATTGGGTTTTCAAGAAAGCCATGTTGGAGGACAAAAACAACAACAACAATAATAATAACATCAACAACAACAACAATAATATTAATATCCTTATTTTGCTGTGCAATGAAGGAATGATAATAATAATAATGATAATAATAATAATAATGATAATAATAAGTTCTTAAATAATAATAAGTTCTTTAAGTTCTTAACAGACGCATCATACAACGTCTCGATGCCTTTTACAAAAGCACCAGACGGATACCAAGTTTGTGGGAAAAATTGCAAAAAAAGTCGGTTACTCCTGGTAAACAGGTAGTGTTTTAGTGCAGATTTAAACTCTGCAACTGAACTTGAGTACTTAAGGTGGCTGTCTACTTTTGAACGTTCGATTTGAGCCCACGATGTGCGCGCGCTCAAAAACCGCTGAAAAATCTACAAGATTTTATTGAAGAACCATACGCGTTTTGAGCTTCAACAGGGCAAAACCCTCACATTTTACACGGGACTCTATATTTTTTGATAGCTCATTCGAAAAAACTCCTAAAAATCTAGGTTATATCAACATTTTAG